GCAAACCCTGTCTCAACATTTAAAAAAATCATCCCTGAAATCTGGCGTGGAACTCAGGCGAGTTTCTTGTCGCAATTTCACAAGTGGAGGATATTACCTACTCTTCGCGATTAATCGTAACAAAAGAATTGTAAAAATAAAGGATACTTTGTCTAAAACGAATTTCATAATTTTCAAAAAAAACTTCTCTTTTCACAGAAGGTTAAATATAAGTTCTGAAAATTCCAAAATTTTTTTTTGTTATAGCTCACTTTTATTCCATAGCACGAAGCACAGTACCAAAAGATTGGTCTCTACCAAAATCACAATCGCTCCTTCATCACTTCCATTATTAAATTGATTATTCAACTAGTCTATTTTCGTCTATAGAGATTTAGGAAAGGCAGATTACATCGAACTCAAAAATAGTAAAACTGGTTAGAGAGGACAAGTCTTAGCCAGATCCAGAGAACGCGCTAAAATTTTTGCTTTGATAGTTTATCATATTAGAACAAAATGCACGATTTGCCGATGAGGAAGCAGGTGCTTTCGCGATTAAACGATTACGGAGGAATTTCGACATGTGCCAGTGTAGCCATAGTAAAGAAAGATGGAAGATAAGGTTTATCCTTAATTTGCTCAATGACTAAGATGACATTCTCAAAATTCGTCTTTTAGCACACGGCTCAAGTGCACTTTGATGTGATACCTACACTTAGCTGAATTCGCGTCTTGCTGAAAAAAAGTAGACTCTCCATAAAGGCTGCCGGAAACTGAAAGGCAGTGTAGCATACAAGCATGAAATTTCTATGAAGTCAGAAAATTTTAGATAGATGATTATGATTAGGCTTGTTCTTGGACCTATGAAAACCATGTCTACCTGTAGTATTTTTTAGATTTTTGTTAGTTCGACTGGAAATGAGATATCATCTTAGGCTTAGGACTAATGAAAAAGATAGCAACTATCCTAGGTTACATTCGCTTTATGAGGAAAGCAGTGAAATAAGCAAGAAGTTTGGATGCTGCTCACTGACATAATTTTTGCGGGCTTACATAAGGCAGGCCTTGTATTGTGAAAGTCTGACTCAAATATCTCTATACATTTTGTACATTGTACGTACATTTTGCTCTTTCTAACCAATATTACGCGAAAACTGAACTTTGATTTCAACGATGCTCTGATGATGATTGGAACCTTTCAACTCTCCTTTATAGCATTCGCTGGTGCCATAAGTTCTGCATTCCAATCCTGCCAGCAAATTTTTTGTAAAGTGCCATACTGGGATAACATAATATAGACCTGCTTGAGATAAAACGATCTGCCGCTCTGAGCTTCATATTCGAGACTAAGATGTTGAATGTTGGTAATAATAGGTTAAGAAAATAAGATTTCCAAAGAAACGTTTTGTCTAACACATCGTCATGAAAGGATAGCAAGAAATGTTTTTAAAATTTTCATATTTCGTAGAGAAAACGTAGGTTTAAGACCAGGATATCGGCTTTTTCCAAGTAAAGACGAACTGTTACTCAAAAGGTGGATGTTGCGTAGCTGACGTGAAATCCTCTACGATGTGTAGCAACATAGGATGTTTCTAGAAAAGGGAAGATAATGAATAATGTTCTTACTGCAGGAATTGTATAAATACGCCTTAATTACCTAACTATTTCGAAAACAGTAGACATGTGAGGCGTGAAAAGATGCTAAAAGTATGTCAAGCAGTGCCCGTAATTTATTTCTGGCGCTTATTTTCTGTTGTATTCACCGTATTTTTACCAAGTTTGCTTCAAATTAGTGTCCAAACCCTACCTTTTTAACCTCATTGTTAGCAATTCGATCGTATTGTTTTCTAGATAATTGCAAGAGGAATTGTTGTTATGTGGAAAATTTTATATTAAACGATGTTTTTTGATCATTCTAACACATTATTTCTCAGCACAAAAAGAGACAAAAATTGTACGACTTGATGAAACTGCAGTTTTTTATAGGGCAGGGAAATAAAACGCTTTTGAGCTATATATACAAAATCGCTTGGAAAAATGAAATAGCATCAGAAAAGGTGGGAAAAAAGAAAAATGTGCGCAGTTTGTTGAATGATTAGCATTCATCTCAAAAGGGCTTTTGGAGATGCTATATTATGGGGACATTCCTCACTCTACGAAAAACATTTAGAGCTAGTATTTTGTCATCTAAGCGGAAAAAGCCTAACACTATTCACTCTGTCGACTTTAGCTGTTCCCTATTTTTATCAATATTGTAAAAAACTGGCTATCGATGCATGCATAGAACAAAACAATTTTTGACATAGTTAAGTATGATAACCATATCAATAGGATATAATAAAGTAATTTAAAACTATTTTGTAATGTTTGCTCTCTCTGTTCTCCCAGTAAGACTGACAACTGCACAACTTCAGTTTCATCAACGATATTCTTCCAGAACATTCCTACAGAGAACTAATTTCTTGTTTTATGATTGTTAAAAATGTTACCAAGTACACGATGAATACTCAACTTTTTTAAATGGACGTACGACGAATAATTGTCTATTCCAATAGTCAACATTTTCTACAAAAACCAACTTCCTTTGCTACTGAGCTCATCAAAAATCGCAATAGCTGTTGATATTTATATTTGTCCTCTCTATGTATCCACCCATTTCTATTTAAAACCAGTAAACCAGTATTTAATCAAGACACTGTTTATCGTTTTGTTTGAACAGATGAAATTCAAAAAATCAAAATTGTTTGTGGAAAAGCATGGAGTTCTGTCGAGTTTTTTTTCATACAATGTATAAAGCAGAGACTTTAGAATTTCTTTGAACAGCATTGCAATACTTTCTCAGTGTTTTAAGGAATAAATGAGATTATTAACTAGCTGGGTTAGTTACTGTCCCCTTTTTTTGTCCCTATGCAAAATTGCAAAAGAAACATTCTTTGGACTCTCTCTGTCTTTTATATGTGAAACACGTTGACAAGGTTCTCTGTCTTTTATATGTGAAACACGTTGACAAGGTTATAGATTTGGCTCTACCAATTTCGTGCTACAATATAGCGTTCTGGTAAAAAGTAAGCAAAATTGATCTTAATTTTCTTTTCAGAGAGTTGTCTCTCAGGTGCTGATAGGTGCTATTTGCTCTTGTTAGAGTTTTGTGTCTGCAAAAAGGCAAAAACAAAAAGTAAATCTTTATAAAATCTAGAAATATGAGCTTGTCGGCAGATATCACGACGCTTACTTTATTGCTGTCCCAAATCCCCTCAAGAAGACATGAGACTTGGGAAGGTATAAAAAGTAAAAGAATAACCAATTTTCCAGGTTTCACTCCATTAAGAACAAATATTGTGAAGTATATCAATATTGCAGCACCACATCCTACAGTGTTCATTATCCTTTATGAAGTATCACAATGATCGGGTTTATTCGATAATTTTTACTCCATTTTTGACTACTTATTACACTCAGAAAAAGCGAATTGAAAGTGATATACCGTTGGCGCTTTTTCCCACGCATTCCATAGAAATCATGAAAAAAAAACCATTCATGTCTGCTGTTCCTGCTAGTTTTCTTATATTAATCGACCTTATAATCCCAGAATTTCCGAGTAGACGTCAGCAAAAAATTCATGTAACAAAAAAGATGGAGTAAAATAACGATTATTGTGATAAGGAAGGATCCCACTTTTTGGCGAACTTCTAATTATATGCCACTGATAAAACGATTGAATATCCAAAACGAACAACATGCAAATAGAAATGAGCCGTGTAGTCTTTACGAAGTGTGAATCATTTATTTCAAGTTTACCACTCATTTGCATGAGAAACCAGGTACAATCCTCGGAAAAATGAAAACAAATGTGACTTTGAAAGGAATCGAACAGGGATATATTCAGCTGCGTGTTGTTGCCAAAACGGCAGTATTTACGTCAGTAGTACGGCGTGTCCATGTACCCGTGCTTTTTACTCTCAACAAATTGTAACCTGTTATTTCCAGACTGCAGATGCTTTATGTTGTATTGTGGGCAGCTCTTCCTAGCGGCATCTTAGCACTAATCAGCGATCTTAACTGCACACGTGTAGATATAATGCCAGGAGCTGCAGTGAAAATTGTGGTAAGTTTTGCTTCATTCGACAGAATATAGTAGATAAATGCTGGACTAGTCTCTTCAGTGAATTATCTGCTACACTTTAATCAAACTGCAAGTTTTCAAATCCAAATTGCTCAACTCGCTCTAAGAAAAAAATTTGACTTTTTACTGACTCTAAGGCGCTCATCACTACATGGAGTAATCATTTTACATCCTC